TGTCAAACACTGCAGGTTTTTATCATTTCTAATCGTTTCTAGAATACAAAATGTATTCTCTTTGTTTGTTGGGGAAAATAATACATTTAGCAAGAGACGTGCATGTTGGCAAGCTTGTTTTGCTAGCACCGCAAACATGGCCTTTTTCTGGTTCCTTCTTAGAGTTGATGTTCTCTGCTGTCACTATTTTTATTGCTGCCAGTAAAAAGAAACATTTATCAGTACTGACTTCTGAAGGCATTTTATTACTTTTCTAATGTTTATGTTGAAAGTTGAAAACTCATGACAGATGGGCTGTAAACAAATTGGGTTCTTTCTTTAATGGGTGCCACACAAACACATTCACATGATGCTCATTCTGAGGTATGGCATCTGATCCAGACATCAGACGCACTTTGTCACACCTCACGGAGCATCAGAGAGCTGGAGGAAAGTTTTATGAACTCCAAAGGTTAGTGATGAGTCACAGTCGGTGGTATCGCCGGAAATATTTGGCTGCTCATTGAAGATACAGCTGCCTGGTATAATGAGCGCTACCTTTGCAGGGGGAAAGAAAAAAACCCTCACACATTCCTGAAATGAGCATGTCAGGAATTGGAGCAACAAAGATGGACTGAAAGTGCCATGAGGAGGGCTTTGAGAATGGAAGGCTTAAAAAAGCAGTAATTAATATGATTATAAAGTCTTCACCTGGTTTCAGTTCGATCACTGATCATCAAAGATTGATCAATCAGATGTGAAAACATAAAAACAAGGAATAGAAAATCCAAAAACAAGTCAGGTCATTTGCAGACTAATAACTTTTGGTGATCTACATGTGTTTATACTTTACACAAAAAGTAGAAGTGTAGTCGGTGGCAGTGAATGTTGTTTAGTCCACTTTAACCCTTGTGTGTACAAATGAGCTCCAATTGACCCTTATCACTTGTATCATTTGCCTCAGTCCTAGTACGTTTGCCTCAGTCTTCGCACGCACAAGGCTAATCAAACTGTAGCTTGTTTGCCTAGAAAGTGAAAGTGTGAATATGTGATCGAGCTTCGATAAGGACAAAAAAACCCAACAACTTCTTGTCTGTCAAACATACGTAGGTGTGGTTCGAATGCATATACCAGGCAGAGGCCGCCCCCAAAAAAAGGAAGCAAACAACAGTGCTAGGCATTCTGGGTAGATGCAACCAAAACAAATGTGGAAAAACAGCGTTTGGGACTTTTGACAATAGAAATACTATAACCACTAAAATTTGATGCCACTCCATTGTTGTTTACATTCTGTGAAGAAGGATGTTGCGCCCATGTTTTCTTCATTGGTTTTCTTGTTGTTTCTTGGTGCAGTGGCACCACCTGCAAGGTGGGAAATAGATTTTCTTTAAAGGGTTGGGTTCATTTCACACAGTGCAGTGTGAAAGCGAGACAAATGTGGCCATTTAGGTCCCTAATTGAACCGAGCTGACCGGACTATTAGGTGTGAAAACACCCTCAAAGAGGAGATATGGGAGCATCATAGGCTGCAGAATCTCATCTCCATATCTCTTGGCTTTGAGATCACCTCTTACCCCACAACTCCCAAAATGCAGTTTCCTAACAAATCTTGCACCATCTGTGCTGAAATAACCTTTTCAACGGTATAAGATGCATTACCATGCATCCTTATAATAATAATAAAAAAAAAAACTATGCCAACAAACAGTTGAACCAATATTTTGGGCCAAGTTCAGTTAAGTAATGATGGAGGCAGATCAGAACAAGTAAACATTAATAAGAAATTCATTTTCTTTTTATTTCCTCTTTTTTGCCCTTATCTAGTGGCTACTTGCAAAGCTAATATGAAATCCCTGCATCAGATTAACCAAGATACTTTATTCAGGCTATTTTTATCTTTTCATGGAAACTGAGATGAATGATTTATTTTGCGCTGCCCCTGACCTCTTAACCTGGAAAACCCAAAGAAGGTCTACAGAACGGTTCTCAGTGCTGGTCTCACCTCCGTCCCTCTCCCTGCTGTTTCCTCTTGGTGGGAGAACGAGGCAAACATCTGGCTCAGCTTTTTGCTTATTTCATTAGTTCTTCTTAACTCTGACACTCTGTCCTGTAAATGAGGACATTGATGTGATTGAATTACCCCACCACCACCTCCTCCGCCTCCCCTTCCCCCATATTTTACCATTTGCACTTTCCCTACCCTGAGCCAGGTTTCAATGCTGTTGTTGCACTTTCTCCGGCTTTGCGTAACGGCACAGAGGTCGTGTTGCATTGCATCCTCCATCTCCTCTTCCTTCCCCTGGTGGGATGGGCACTGAGGGAAACGGCGGCCCAGAAATCCGACCTTCATATTCGAGGTTTGCAGAAAAACAGCTCAGCTCCCAACAGGAGAGCACCATCGGACCTGTTTGACCTTCAGCCGAAGTAGGATAAAGTGCCGGGTCCTCGCTTTTGACAAAGACCGGTGCTCTTGAATGACTCTGGCAACAATGAGTTTATTTCATCATTTATTGATGGGTGTTTCAGCTTTCTGCTGTTCTCTCACTGTCTTTCGCCACAGAGAGCCACGCGGATATTTAAATACAGCAACTGAAAGGATGAAAAGAAGGCTATTTTTTCCTCACAGCTAGATCCAATCAACAAACCCACAGGATGAGAAGTACAGCTTGTCTTCATCTGAAGACGTCTAAGAAAGTATATTCATTCTTTAACATGCATAAATAATTCATAAGCGAATTATACCAGCATGAAACAAAATACCCACGGTCCTTATTCTATATATCCATGAACTGAATTATTAAAGTGGAACTAATTTTACACATCCAGGTTTGTTTACTGCGTCCCTGCTGCTTGTAATAAAGAAAACATGGAAAAATCTACTGAAATACCTTAGGATGTTAGGATGTTAGGAGGTTAGGCGTAATATCACAAGGTAAATAAAACTGACTCTTCATAATCCCACCTCAACACAAGCGAACAAACTTTTTATCCTCAGAGGTAATGTGTTAAAAGCAGAAAAAAAGAAAGGTAAAGGAATAAGCAAGTCTAAAAACATAACAAAAACAATTGTGAGGTCTCGACGACTGGGTCAGAGTCTCTCCAAAACTGGAGCTTTTTGTGGGGCATTTCCAGTCCGCAGAGGTCCCAAAAGTGGTCCAAGGACAGAAAATGACAAGCAAAGACTTGTGGCTACGGGTCCTTGACATGCATAGAAAATGTTGGAAAGTATGATCTGATTTAATCAAAAAGTTGTTGCTCAGATTGCTGAAGGAGTCATTGCTGAATTTGTGAGAAAAGTATTGGAATACCTTGTTGTGTACAGTGGACCCTGGTGTTCGTAATGATTAGAGCACCAAAACCATCCATGAGTATTTAAAATCCATGAATAATTTCAACCCCCTTTAAAAAACAGGCTTATGACTACCGATTTGTAGCTTTTATACCTTACTGTGCACATGTAACTCACGGTAGAAACAGTCTTAGGTGTTAACATCTGCTGTTTCTCTTTTCTCTGTGTTGGTGCAGCCAATCGGCACCAATGAAAATGAATTGGCTCCTTTGCAAACACCAGCCAATAGCTTGTGAAGTAACATTGTGCTGAGGTACCTCGTCTTCCTAAGCTGCGCTTTATTTTGAATATTTTAGGTATTTATATTGAATGAATAACAGAAGTTGAGATCCCACAGCAAAATTTGAAAATAGGTGAAAGTGCGAATACTGAACGGGGAATAGATGGGGGTCCACTGTATGGGGTAGCATAGCCTCAGACCAGTGAGATTGTCCATACTTCCCATTTGTCAATTATCAAAAGCAATCTGTGAACATCAGAACCAGGTCAGGCGCAATGGAAGTGGGTGTGTTCTAATGAATCGTGTTTTCTTTTACATTGTACCATTGTCGTGATGTGCTTGGACAACATTTGGCTGCCAACTTTGGGTCTTGGCATCATGTGGATGTTAACTTGGTATGTACCACCGACCTAAGTACTGCTGTTGATTGTCGCCAATTTTAGTAAGTTAATGCACCTTGCTACTAAGAAAAATGGTTCAAGCATGGTTTTAAAAAGCAACACTCCACATTTCCTTGATCTGAATCCAATTGGGCATCTATGGGACATGCTGGATAAATTAATCGGACCAATGGAGGCCTTACATTATAACTTTAAGGACTTATAGGATTGGCTGCTAATATCTTGGTGCTATAGAACACAGTCTTGGGTCAGGAATTTTTTGATAGAAGTGAAAGAAATATGTCTGATTGAGGTAATATGGATTTGGTAACCCCAAGCCTGAATATGCATGGTATATTGGGGTCATCCTTATTGCCAGGAGCTAAATTAACAACAAAACCTTGACTTTTGTTTTAATTATGACATTTGTTTAAAGCACTATTTACAACAGCAGGGCCAGTTAAAGACATGAAGGATTGTCCATGCTGCTAGAATTTAAAAATGACAATTGAGGAGAATCTGTTCAGAAAAGTCGTGTGGAGAGTGACATTTTCACTTGCCCCACAAGGATAGGAAATGGTCTGCAGCCATAGCGACTGTAAACAAAGATAGTACAAACTGTAGCCTTAAAATATGATAAAAAAAAAAAAAGTAAACTGTAAAAAGACCCAAAAGAGCCTGGCCATCGATCAGAGTACTGTCAGGCACAGGGTAATAACACCTAAATCAATACTCTTCCTTTGTATTTCTCTCCTTTGGTCTAAAAAGGCTTTCTGCTAAGATAATGGCCTAAAAACCACAGGAGATTTCAAAAGTCACCAGCAAACCTTACGAACAGACATGATTTGCTGATTTTCAGTCACATCTCAGAAAGGAAGGCAAATTAATCCAACATGCGTGTATTTGGAGTTGGCAAGAAAGCCACAGATCCAAAGGGAAAACATGCTGGAATTCAAACCATGGGCCAATAAGAATACATTAATGAAACCCATTTTTTGTCTACTTTAAAGGTAGGCAGTATTATGTAAAATCAACTCTTTTTAGGCTTATATCATGTTACGTTTTTCCAACATCAAAAACATTCCTAGCTGGTTGCTTTGATCCTTTCATGCATATTTAAGAAATCCTGTAATCTCTTGTGGCAACCATTCAACTGAGCAAAACACCTGGCTGGACCTAACCCTGCCTTTGAGGAAGAAGCTCCTCCTATGAGCTGCAGCTTCCGCTTCACAGAGCAGCCCTGTCCCACTACTCCACCACTTAGCTCCTTCAGACTAGCCAGCAGCAATTAGCAAACACCTGGTGGAATCTGCTGAGCTCAATAAAGGAGCTACTTCTCAGTGAACACTGGTAAAAACACTCTTAAAGGGTTAATAGAAGAACCAAGTTGTGATGACTTCCTGAGAATGGAGTTTCACAAAGAGCAGGAGTTTTTAAAGAGACGGACTCCCAATTTCAAGGCGTTAGATTAAGAAGTCAATGTCTTTTAAGTCATATTTGATATATTCAGCATCTCTATAATTGAAATTGACATAGTTATTTGGTTTTGCTGTAAAATGGCACTGTGTGTCTGGAAAACACATAATACTGCCTTTTTTAAAAAAACTGAGAATTTTCTAGTGTTTTAAAGTGAAATATGAATTATGCCATTTGTAATATAGAAAATGATTGGAACTGCACTGTAACAACTAAGACAAAAAAATAGATGAAGATCATGCAAAAAAAAAGTTATTTTCTGTCAAAGTGAGCATTAACAATAGCAGTACCTTCAAACACAACACACCAAGTAGTGTGGCAATTTAAACAAGATGGTAAACCAGCCAAAAATATATTGTTTTCTTCAATTTGAAGATGTGCATTTCTATTGTTAGCTGTTCCCTGGATAAAATCCCCAATTCACACATCCTGCTGTGATGAAATGTTTTTCTTTTTATTATTATTCTGTCTGGTCTTTAATTATTTAAATATTCAGCCCTGCAGGAATCAAACTTTTATCACAGAGCTGCTGTTGTCTTCAGCAAACCCCTATGCCAAGCAAACCCAACGACTCTGCATCCAGGTTACAGACCTAGGGTTACTGAAACCACGTTGCTAGGTAACAGCTTGGGGTTTACTGCTACGTGCTTTTATCACTGACAAAAAGGCAACGGGAGACAAACAAAACACCATCAGGCAGTGACCGTAATTCTTCTACAAGTGGTGGGACCATTAAAAAGACATCAGTGTTACGTATCAGACCATTTTCCATGGTTTCGTTTGACCCAAGAGCCACGATGTGGAAAACTCAGCATCCAGCTGGACATGTAACGGGATATTTGTCTTTTCAAAAATCACAATAGCTGCAGCGTTGTCCCGCATTCAGCAGCAACTCCAGTGTGGCTGCAGTTCCGCTTCGATTCCTGCCTCCAACAGCAAGCCTTTAGTAACACACAGTTTAAAAAAAAAAAGAAAATTGTTTTGGACAACTTTGACTGTGTGGCATAAGATTTAACCAGTTTGTGTAAATTAGAATTTTTCTCAATTTGTTTTTCTTTAAGTCCTTCCTCAAATTTTAAGCTAATGTGTATCTGTCAGTTTAGCATTTTTTGTGGCTTTGACTAGCATTCAGAAGACACTGCTTAAGTACCTTGTTACTGCAATTGGAGAAGATATGATTTTATGTACTGAAATATATAATGGCACACATATAGGATAGTTAAAAAAACTGTTGATTTTCCATAAAAAAGTACATCTTTACCAGAATATTGCAAAAAGATTAACTTCACATCTTGAAACAATTTTTGGCCGAGTTCAAACGTGAAGAATGCTTTCCGAGTCCTGTTGGTAGAAAAGTGAAGTTGGATCAGTCTTTTATTCAGTTCACTTGGTATGTCACTGGAGTGATGCAACAGAAGGAAACAGCTGCACCTGTAGGAGGTGTCTGTAGCAGCTGTGACTCTACAACAAGCTTATTGAAAACATAAATTCATTTGAGCTTTGAAATCTTCTTTCATTTGTCTCACACTTTTATTGGGAGGTTTCTGTGAGTAATGAAGACGCTGATCAACTGTTGTACACAATTTAACATTTTCCTTTGTTTCTTTTATTTAATGATACATATTGATACATATTACAGTAGAGACTATTTTTTCTGGGGTCCACTCCACAGACATTATAGAATAAAATCATACTTTTACAAATATTATATAAAAAAGACATAATTAAATACCTTAAGACACAAAACTAGGGGTGCACCAACTGGCGTTTTCTGGCCAATTACCAATAAAGCCTAACCTGCCGATTCTAATTTTGGCCGATACTCATTTCTTTTGTCTGAAATGTTGCTCAAAATAGCTAGAAAGTGGCTGAACTGGCAACAGAGGGGTAACTATTAACCCCTCTGTTCCAACATGACCTGGTGGTCTACCATGACTGATAGTGGACCCACTATCAGTGGGCAGTGGACCCACTGACCTATGCATTGCTGTGTTCAAGACACAAGACCATTTCCTGTAAACCCCAAAGACACTTATGAGCAGTTACTAAAATACTCAGACCGGCATGTTTGACAACAGCAACCATGCCTCAAATCACTTGAATCACGGTTTGAGCTTCTTCGAATCGTCTTCACCAGATCCCTAAATGCATTCACTTGCTTCCATATGATTGGCTGATTTACTGTCTGTGCTAACAAGAAATTGGAGAGTCCCCAACCTAATGAAGTGGCCTGCAAGTGTATTTTCTTAAAAGCAATCAGTAAGGGAGATTGGGGGTGGGAGGAACTAAAGTAGGAACACCAAGAAGAGGTTTAGTCAAAACGCAACAGCCATTTGGGAGTTGTGACGACTCCATAATGCCTGATGGACTGACATGGGATTTAAAATGACTTAACCAGCCCTGGTTCAGCGATGCGTAATACTTCTGGCTTTGCTTTCACAGACTTAAACATTCAGTAAGAGCTAGAGGGAGAGGGCTAGTTTTAATGCATGCCTCTCTAATGCCTCGACGGCGCACTATAATGCCTCCCCTTAATCTCCTCTGGGTGTGAGGAGAGGATGTTCTCAAGATCAGAGGACTTAATGAGTGCAGACAAGAGGGCAGGGAGCTGTGACTGAAATGACGATGATGAATGGCTGTCCTCAATAAGCTCTTCAGGTGCGCAGATATGCAGTTTGTACGTTTAAATGTACGAGAAAGTTGCACTTCCTGTTGAGGCACGCTATTTTCAGCCCAGTCCTGGTAGCTGCAGAACTGTTGCAGAGATCGGATTCTGAAAAACAAAATTTGACTTCCAGCTGATCCTTAATCTTAATCACAACCAGCTCAGAAAACAGACACCCAGTCCAAGATTTCACATGTCAAGGTGTAGACCCGAAACATTTAGCTTTCTGCTGATGAAACGGAAAGGCTGAAGTGACAGAGTGGCATCTTTAAGATGAAAGGCAGCGACTGTGTGAAGCTGTAAATAGGACTGAATTGGCACAGAAATCCCAACGGTTGCCCGTTGTAGCAAAGCTTTCCCCCCCCCTTTGGTACTCAGACATGAAAGGAAGTGACTTTCTACTGAAGACGGCACATCTCTCTACGTTTGTGTTTTTACTGGTGTCTGTCAAGATATATGTTTCAACTCCTACCAGAGCTGCAGGTAACGACCCAACAAATAGGATTGCATATATACATATAAATTCTTTTTGCAACGCTTACTCAATTGTTCTCCATGGTGACTGCCATACTAAAAAAAGAAAATATTTACATACAATGCAAGAGGGAAAAAAAGACTTAGTCTGACATAAAAGTAGACTGAAGTGGGTCAGTTAGAATAACTAAGCTCTCTATTGTCAGAACAAGACAATTTCAGGAGTTCAGTAAAATCTTATAAGTGTTTGACATTATTGTTTTGGTTTTTTTTAGGTCATACGTTAAGTCACACATACATTACTTCTGAGTGTAACACTAGTAAAAACATTGTTAAAGTGTTAATTAATAGAGAATCCATGTTGTGATGACTTCCTGAAGGCGGAGTTTCAGAAGAGCAGGAGCTTCTTAAAGAGACAGATGCCCAATTTCAAGGCGTTAAGTTACCAAGTCCAATTTTGTTTAAGTCATATCTGATGTATATAAATTTTTTATAACTGAACTTAACATAGTTACTTGATTGCTATATAAAATTACACTATGTGGTAGGAAAATACTCAACACTGCCCCTTTAATTTTGGTAGGTCCATCCGTTCTCTCTGAAGCTAAAATACTTCATATATAAATATTGAAGCAAGAAGTGAAACAAATCCACAAATCAATGAGCTGAAGCAGTGAAGGGCAGATAGAAGGATACTATGAATATTACACCCTTCACAGTCTGAATTCATAATGCATGAGGAGGACTGTGATGTGAAGGAATGAACTTGATCCATCTGTTGCTTACCTCCCAGCTTTGACAGCAGCACTCATCGTACGAAACGATGAGACCAGGCTAGAGGCCCGAGGCCAGCCGACAGCAGCCAGAGGAGAAACCGTCATGGCTACCCATACAAACACTCCCGTCACATTACCAACGCTCGACCTTAACTGCTCAAAAACTATTGCTCAGTCCCTGTAATCAATACCCAGCAGCCCAAGTGATCAATTTTAATGTCTTGCTGCTGGATTGAAATGGTTTGTCAGAGAATCATCCCCACCCTGATGTCCAAGAAAAAACGATGCAGGATCAATGTCTGCTAACCACCCGACTATCCTAAAACCCGACACGAAGCTGAAATTGACCTTGAATCCACGTACAAGGATGTAAATAAAAATGTAAAGCAGCAAACACTAAAATCCCAAATAATTTATTTAATCACGGCAAGCAAAATCGATCTGCGTTTTCATTTTTCATCACCGCTTTACGGAATATGTGCTACATGAGGGTTTTGCCGCACTAAATGAATATGAAACACATTCGTCCAGGGAGGTCGGCCTCATCGCCAGCCTCCTGGACTCATCCGAACCGGGGCGAGGTGAGGCAAGGCAGGCGGAGAAATCTGAAAAATAAAAAGTTAAATTAGTAATGCGGCCTGCGCCTGCTGGCGTGAAGATGGGGAGGTCTTGTAATATTGATGTGTAGAGAATGAGTCATCCAGAGCAGAGAGGGGGGAAAAAGAGAGAGAGCATGCATAAAAAACCCCTTTAGAACAAGTTGAGAGTCTTATTTTTCAGTTCTG